TTAATTACTATTCCTGTTTAAAACTTTCACCCAATTTGCTCATTTTTCATAAAAAAAAGTGTCATGTTGACGGTTGCAGGCTCGCCGATTATTAAATAAGTTAACTAAACTCTTGGCAGAATATAGTTGTTTTATACTGATTTTATGCGTTTATGTATCTAATAAAGATAATAATTTTATAGCTCTGATGTTGCTACTAATATATTCCTTTTCAGTGGCAGTATTGCGAAATATATATTAAATTATTTTCCAAAGCATCCAAAATTCAGTGTGATTTAGTTCTAAAATGATTTTGTTACTAAATATTATAAGTACCTATATTAAATATTTAACATGTGTGATAGTGTAAACAGAACATGACTAAAGCATTCATGGCTGCCTACATATAGGAACTTAAATAAATACTTATGAATTGAATTGGGGTAGAAGCGTATTTAGTCTTAAAGAACACCTTTTTTTGTTCTTTTTTAGAGCATTTCTGATTGAACGATAGATTTAGTTATAATGGTGATGCAATACTAAATCGTTAAAGAGAGATATTGATCTCTTAGTGTGTTTTTGCGTATCTTACATATAGTTATCAATCTATTAGGTCTAGCCACCATATTTATGCAATTATAATCAATCGAAGCGTTATCTTAAGTATTAATTACAATAATTTGTGATTAACCGAAAGCGCTTTAAACATCCGCTTGTCTGGCACAAAGTGCTCAACATATATTTATATGGATAAATATAGATAAATAATTAAATATGAATAGAACGTAAGTGCAATACTGGAACATCGCTTGTTTACCTTTGTCAAAAATAAAGAATACCAATGCAAGTCACGCCACTTAACCACATGTTAACAAAACATCGAATCTTATCACCGAGGTTTCTTGGCCAACTCTAACAAAATAATCGTTTATAATTGCCACAGCTAAAAAAAATATTATTTACCTCAAAGGGCTGCTACCTACGTTGCCAGAGTAAAAAAATGAATTGATTAAAATGAAAAAACAACGTCCAAACGTTTGAATGTCTGTTATTTCGAAACTGCGTTCGCAAATTATGTTATTCATTCCCTATTAGATTATACCTTATTATTATTAAGAGTCGTGCGTGTGGTATATTTTTTTACGAAACGGAGGGCCTTATGAAGCTTTATTATTATGTTTTAAAGGTAACAACTTAATTTAGGTAGGCGCCGCACCGCCTACGTCGATTGATTTCATGTAATTTTCGTTCCGCTAAACAATTTTTCGATAAATTGCCGCAAAAAATTAACTGCCACACGTTACTAATCTTTAAAAATGCGGCTGCCGATGAATTCTTCATCAAACCTAAACTTGACTGTCAATTTTTCTGTACTTTTTATAAAAAATATATAAGGAGAGTCGTATTTTTTTCATAGTGTAAGTTGAAACAAAGTCAATTCAAAACACAGCTGAGAAATACATAAAATACCTAATGAAATAAAAGATAATATAATTTGTTTTTTTGTCAAATAGTTTCTTGGTGACATAACAGCATTAAAATTTATTTAACCGAGTTTCAATTTATATAAATATATCTCAAAAGCCTGAGGCACTCGCACTGTTGCCGTTAGTTTCAACCAGTCGCGTTTTCTAATACGATGGGAATAATTAAATTTTGTTATCAGTGCCTTCAAATCTAATTTTAATTAAAAAGCGTCACATATTTCACGCGCTATTCGGCGGTAGGCGGCGCAATGTGTCTGGCAAGTACAACCGGCCAAAGAAAGAAGAACCGTACTCCTATTAGGATTCCTGATTGAACGAAAGAGTACTTATAGATCTAGTTATAATGGTGATGCAATATTAAATCGTTAAATTTAATATTGGCTGTGTAGTTTCTTTTATTGCTTCACAACTAACGCGTATGCTAACACAGGTCAAGTGATTATTTTTTTATTCTGGCAACAAATAAATGTTTATTCTCACGCGATTATTGTTCGAATTAAATTAATAGGTTTCCGCTCGATATTATTTATAGACGTTATGTAAAAAATGTGTGATATTTAAAATTATTAAACTTTGGTATGATAATTATACACATTAGAGTGTAAAGATTGTAATTAACTGTATTTAGTTAATGCAATAATTGTAAACAAGTTGTAAACTAAATGTCTTCATAACTAAACGAACTGTCAAAATGCTGATACGATAGGACGTATTAGGTCACTAGTATGAGCGTGTCATATGAACTTCACAATAGTAAGATGGCGCGCTTTGCACAAAACAAAATCACCTAAACGGAATTTCAACTTTATTTTCCCACACTTCCAGCATAAATTTCATTGCAAGATAATATTTCAATTAGGTAGATAAAAGTCTGCAATACAATGTACCTGCATGTTTTGCAATCAACAAATTCCTTTCTGTGATTTCTTCCAAAGATCTGTCAACGCTTGATAACTCCTCGCCAGATGACGAAAGATACGGGCATAAAATGATAAAACCGCTTTGGTACATCATTAAATATTCTTACCATATTATTATATTTACCAATTGTGACGATTAAAACAAAAAATTGCAAGCAATTTACTTTTGTACGTTATACCTACTTTCGTTGTAATGGTGATGAAATGAGTAATCAAAACAATCATTCTGTAGTGTTAAATAATATTTATAAGAAAGTGATATGATCACATTACGAAATGTACACAAAAATCACAAGTCGTACATTTGTGAAAACATCTTGCAATAATTCTAATATTCGCAGATGTGTGAAGGAGAGGTGAAAGCCTTAAACAAGCCAAAGTTGCGTATTTTAAACAAACGTTAAGTAATTCGCAAGTAAAAATTAGTATTACAAATTCGACATGTGCTTTCGTCAAATAATAGAAAAATAGTAAACTCTTAACTTTACCGGGCCGTTTTAAAAGCAAAGTCTTGTTCAAATAAAAAAGCATTCGATTTATTGCCAGTGTCGATGTAGTTTTGCTAATGTTTTTGTAAGCTGGCTGGCTGGAAAATAATGATGGAACCAAATATAGCTGTTAATTCTATCTCAAGTGAAAATAAACACAGTTTACTTTCAATTTTTAATTAATTGAGATACGAAAAGGAGATGCCAGCGAGTTTTAGAATGATTTCATCACTCGGCAGGACAACAGCACTGTAAAGAGAAGGTAAACTTGAAACAAACCCTATACCAACCCATCTGACCAGCGTGATATAGTAGGCCAAAACCTCCTTTCTAAGGAGAGTTCTATGTCCAGCAGTGCTCTATTAAAGGCTATTAATGAGGAGTAGACTGTGTGTACACTGTGTGTGATCTTAGTCTACAAACGTTTGCAATTTTTAAACATAGAATGGCACTTTAAATGTTTGGCTTATTAACAAGGGAAGCATCTTAATGCTATATTGCGAGGACTTTACACGTTTTTGAGCTACCTACTTTATATTTATCCAATACATAGACAGCAGATATATCATCATTGTCACATCTTAGCTCCTTTAAACTTTAAGGTTATTATTTATATTTACGTTTTTAAACCAATGATTTTTTTGTGTATAAAATACCATGACTATGTAATATGAAAATACAAATACGCGAAATGCTAAACATTTCACAATCGTAACGTCGGTGCAGCAATGCGTACCCGTTACTATATAGCACGGTAGAGTCTACCTGTTGCCGCGACTGGCCGTTGACCCTTCAAGTATTGACATATTCCTATAGTTTCTCACGTCTAGCCCCTGAGCGATTACTTCAAGTTTCTACTGTGTTCGCAAAATGTTCGACTGTTCGCTTGCCTGTGATTTCGTTTTATGGAATACCTGCCAGATAACATTTAAAATATCCTTCAAGTTTCAATATTGGCGTTTTGACTGTTCTGACAGAATAACAGGCTTTAATTAGTATAATATGTGAGCCCGAAAACATTTAATTAATGCCAGCAATATAATCAATTGTGATCAGTTACATGTAGGAATGTCGCAAATGTGATACTATCGAACCTCGTTTTAAAAGTGTAGAATCACATCAGAGGGCCAGGTGCGAGTTTATTTCACATCAACTCGCTCTCGACAGTGAGCGCGTTCGGCATCATGATTGGTTAAGATTTCAGGGCGAGCCAATCGTAGCGCCGAACGCATTCATCGTGACGATCGAGTAGATGTGAAATAAACTCGCACTTGGGCCTCCGATGCTGAAACTATGAATAAATCAAATTCGATGAGGGACTCATAAAAACAGGCAGAGAATGCGACTACAAGTCTCTTCCTCTATGAACTCGGATAAAGTGATTTTATAATGCTGTCTAGTAACTCATTATCATCCCAGCCAAAAGGCGTCCACTGCAGGACATGGCCTCCCCTAAGGTTCGCCACAACAACCGGTCCTGTCTACTATGAATGAAAAAAACCCGCCCATTCTAACACCAACTGACTGACTGACTGACTGACTGACTAGAACTGGTACTGTGAGAACAGCTATTTAAATTGGTTTAATAGGAGGGACAATACCAACATGTCATTTCTTTGCAAATTTTATCTAGATCATTGTTACATGTTTAACTCTTTGTTTGGACATTTCTTTGTATGAAAAGTTCTTATGTACAGCGACGGTTTTCAAACATTCGAATCAAGCCCTTGCCGGCCTGTGATAACCGTGTTACTTATTCATTGAAATTGTGTAGTCTTGACTCATACTGCATGTAATGCCTCAAATCTATACAATGAAATTGGGGTTAATTGATAATTTTAATCAGTCATTACTTTATCGATGTTTTATTTTATTTTGACACACATAGTAAATAGATTATATGTTTTATTATTTTTAAAGTATTTTCGAAGCCAGATATTCTTGTTAAACACTATATGATGCCCGAGTTATACGATTTGACACTATAAATCAAAATTGACGATATTATCTATCTCCAATCCAAATTATTGATAAAATCATTTGGGTCAATGTTACGGACTTGTCAACCGAGGATGTCAAGAGAATACTTCATCTTTGGTATTAGGTTAATAATAAGAGACACTCACGTTGATCGTTTCCATCGGAGCGAGCCATAATGGTACCGTTTGGGAACACGTTGACGTACATATGGGAGCACTGGCTGTAGAGGCGAACCGACCGGACCATCGATGGCACCGCACCGCAGATCACCACCTGTAACACAGCAAATGACATCATTTCTCAAAATATACTTTCCATCGATAGACAGGCGAAAATACCTGATATGCACATTTAATTTCTTATTTGATTGAATACTGACGTAAATACATAAACGATTCGAAAATATTCACTTAACTCGACACAAATCAGGTTTCTAAGTATGATAATTATGAAAATTACCAAGCACAACAAGATCTCTTAATAAACATGTAGCAAGTTTAGCTTAAGCCCCACTAAAATCATATAACTATTGAGCGATTCTGTGTGTGAATTGGGAATGAAATATAAAACTGGATATTTTCATCATTATCGGCAAACAGACTGATGGTCATGCTAAATTGACTGACCGATAACATTGTGCCGTAAAACACTGATTTACAGACGTATTACTCATATGTAATGTACTTATTACTTTTAATGGCCGACCTAAAACTGCGTCATGGATGAAGTCACTGAATATTCTATGCACAATGTGTATAACAAAACTGATTATCTAACATCTAGAGAAACATACAACTTTCATTTCATTATGTGCCCATATTACAGGTACGGAGTACGGGCACGTAACTAGGTGATTGGTATTGTGGGTGTGTAAATTGGAGCTGTCTGACATTTCAACCATCTTCCACAAGTCATGGTCGCAGGCTGACTATACTGCCATTCTACACAACAAACTCTAGAAAAAATATTTATTTATACTGCCTGCAAATATATTGCATTAGGCGGACTTAATGCCATAGGCAATTATAAACGCGTTACCTGGACGAAAACTGGGGCAACGAAAAATAGTTTTTTTATTTTTAATAAAATATGTCACGAAAATATTAATGGAAAAATTTGTACATATAAGTAATGCCCGGATCATCAAAAACAAAAAAAAAAAAAAAATTACATTTAGTATAACTAGCTAACCGGTAAAATATTTTTCATTGATTCCTGGCTCCTATTGGTCGTAGCATGATGTTATTCAGCCTATATTCTTCCTCGATAAAAGGGCTATCCAACACTTATTTCTTTCAATTCAAACCAGTATAAATTTGCTGTGATTTCCCTGAACATACAAACTCACAAACTTTACCTTTTTATAATATTTGTAGAGATATCTATATTTATTGTCTTTGACTATGTTATTCCGTTTTAGTTCTATAAACTGAATATCAAAGAAAATGCAAGTGATCTCTCTGTGTGTGGTCCATTCTATTTCACTTTAACATCTTAGTACCGGGTCGCTTAAATTAGTTTCCTTATTCTGTAGGTGCTTTCACTGAGGTTTTAATGGCGCCAGTGTCGACCGACACCTCATTACGCAGATATTGATCAAACCCTATCTGCTATGACCTTGCGAACCTCACGAGTTGAAATGTTGAATATTTAACTCGTTAATCCCGAAATATAACGAAATGATCTTATAATAATAATAACCGTACACGACAGGCTTACAGCGGCTAGGCAGAGCCTATGCTATGGTAACTAAACTGCTGATACTTATAATGTATTTATAAATACACACATGTAATAAATAAATTACAACCAGACACAGAACAAGTGATCGTGCTCATTACACAATTATCTGTGTTGGGTGGGAATCGAAGCCACGACCTCCGGCTTAGCAGTCAGGCTCCCTAACCACTAGCCTAACAGGCTCTTCCACGGCAATAACTAAAGGTATGTCTTAATTAGAAAACAACACAGAAACTTGTGCCTTCTTGATGATTATCTCGCTTCACATTCTTGTAAAACATAATTAGTATGTAGAGTCATATTAAATTTCCTAATTAGGTACGACTAAAACACAGTACGCGTCGCGCGTCGTAGACACCACAATAAGGAAACAATCGATCGTTTTAATGGGTCAGCCATGCTCAGCTAATCCGTCAGACTAGGGGTTCCGATTGCGACGTTTAAACGATATTAAATCCTATTAGCTTGTCCCTCAATGTTGATATTTCTCATACATATTTAGCCGTTCTAAGTCCTTTTATAACTGTATACGCGGTGTCATATTCAGGTGGGAAAGCATAGGCTACCGCGACGCGGTCACTATTCAGCCATATTGCATTTCACGTTAACTTTTTGTAAACAATGCCACATTTACTTTAGAGTTGAATGTTTCAAACTATTCGAATTGTTGTCCTATATTTTACGGTTTTGGTAAAACTAAGATAGTAGTAAACCTTTAGTAAAACTAAAGTAAGGTAGATAAAAGCACAAAAGTTTTATTGCAAAACTTATAAAATATTTTATTTTTGTTTAACTTTTTATTCAAAAAATGTTGACACATAATCATAACACATCAAAACAACATACTTAAGTTAACGGTCCCCTTTCCAAATACGATGGAACTTAATTATGTTAATGCACTTTACAACAATATTTAAAAAAAAGGTTTAAGACTAAAAAGTATATTATCTCTAACTGATGTTTAATGGACCCGTTAAAAAGTATCTTATAGAAATAGTCATGCCGCTTGTAATAAACGTAAACTTATTTACAATAAATAAATAATTGTATGTTTATCTCAATCGGTTGTACTATCGTGTGATAAAACTTTGTTCATTTGATTTTTTAAGATAATTAATTGACATATCATATCTATAATTGTAAGTTTATATTGCTTGTTTGTACTAACAGATGTGAGAGAGCCGGCTTGATTTATTAGAATTGGGTCTACAGCGTATGCCTTTTAATCGAATATCGATTATTTTCATACTTTTCTAAGCTTCTGTTTTAATTTGTACTTTTTGTATATTTTTGTCTATTGTATTCTCATAATAGAACCATTTAGAGAGTCATGTTTACATCACATGTGTTGAGGGGAAGGTCTATATATATTCAATTATCGACTATTTGGAGGTCAGTGATCGTTCTGTCATTGGTCTTATCTTTGTCCACCCAAGTAAACCTATTATTGACACTTAATTGAATATCATACAAACCTAAACGATTTAACATCAAGTGTACCGGTAATATTCACGGTTGGATAACACAATATCTGCGCGATTATCGTCAATGATTAGTAGTGCCTATTTAATTAGTTACCTATGATTAACAAAATAAGTTTGTAGAACTAACACGGATGTGATTCAGTACATGATTACTTGATATAGTAGTTGTACTACATTATATTAATAGTTATCATTAATTTTGTAAATCTGAAAAGCTGTTTGTTTATGTCATTGCGATTATCTCTAGAACTACAAGTCGATGGTTATACTATCTTTGTAGAATATTTCGTCGTATCATTGTTATGTATAGTGATTTCGTATACAAATCCGACATTATTGATATTTATTGAGAAATTTACTGCACTTTTTATTTGGATGATAATATTACAAAATATAAGCAATAAATGTAAGATTTTTGTCATTATCCTACCGATGTAAAGAGCATGACTGTTTTGTATGCAAGAATTCATTGCTTGGAATTATCGAGTATTATACATGTAAGTGAAATCACGATTGGTGAGTAGGTAATTGTAGAGGGTTATAAAGAAAGAGTGCTGCATTCACATTTGGCGTTATACTATACAGTTAAAGATGTCATAATTGTCTATAATGGTGAGCAATTAACCGATACTAAAAATAACCTACTATAATATACTATCTTCCTAATAACTAAATATCTATATAACCTCTAAATTATAGGTAAAGTTAAATGTAGACTTAAAGTACGTTTTGTGAATTACATGACTATTAATAAAAAGTTACAGTTCAAAACTTACAAGACGAATAGATAACTTAATACGCATGGAATAAGAAAGTGAGGGAAACGACGGTGGGCCTTTTCACTAGTACACAACTTCTTATGACCTGCTAATGTTCAATCACGTGAAATTAAAGCAAATTTGTTCAAAATAGGCTAATTATCCAAATATTCCACACAAAAATAAGTTAAATTAAGAACCGTTTCAAAATCACAAGAATGCGAATTCATAGTGAATTCATTTTAAAGCAAACCACGACAGAAATTCTAGTTTGATAATGTTAAAATAAATGTTTATTAAATCAAATTTTCGAGATAATTCTTGGTCATATCATTAATATAAATGTTGGTGGCAAGGTCGGTCACAAACGTCGAAACAGAGCTTCTCAGACTGCAAGTGACATATCAAATGAAGACAAATTAGGTAAGCAAAATTGACATTATTGCGAAAATTTAGCCACACACGAATCAAGATAATCTGATAATACCTATGAAATATAACAATGACTGTATCTCATTAATAATATAAGAAAAATCATCAGTAGCTTTTTTTGGCTCTTTTGAGCGTTAGTTTCTGCATAAATCCTTCGAGTTAGAATAACTCGCGAGTAATTTAGTTGCTCTGTTGATTTCATAGATAAGTTTTTGAAATTAAAATTAGAAAGCATACTAAAAAAATACGAAGATTTTTAAGTGACGTGTATTTTATATTATAGCTTACTATGACGTTATAATGCAATTCTGTTTATCTCTAAGTATGTAATCGTAATAACAGACATTACTAAAAAATCTTAGAACTTAATATGTAGTAATGAAGTAATAATGAAAGATCATTGATTTTACATTGTTGTTTAAAATAGTCTATTGTTTGATATTTTATTATTATGACTATGTAAAATTATTTAAAGAGTGAGAAAAGGTTTTTTTCACAAAGATGTCGTAAAGATATAAAAGGATAAGGAAAATACATGTCATATTGCCGTTACATGGAAATGTAAAGGACTTAAAGAGCATATGTTAGCATCAGTAGCGTATCACAAAAGTGCTAAACGACAAGTCGTGTAAAGAGATTTGCGTAAATCCGTTAGCCGTTTCTTGCATAAACCTGTCGCACGACATTTTTGTTAAATTTATTATTTACTTATTTTTAAATTCGAAGCTAGTCACAAAGTGGATTTGACGCATTTTATTATTTAAATCATACTATTAATACGTACATTTCAGATATGTCCGCGATAGCGGTTTACAATAATTGCTAAAAACAATAATAATTATTATTCAAAGAGTATATT